GGCGGTCTTCAAGAAGTTCTGACTCTTCCGAGTCAGGTCATGATTCTCCATGCTCCAGGTTTTGTTTGAATGAAATTTTATCGAATGCTTTAAAATGTTTTAGGCTCACAATTTTTGTTCTTTTCAAGTTAACGGATATAATTTTTGTGGTAGTTACTCTCGTCTGGGAGTTTACTTAATTTTAACTTTGGGCTCTAATTTCTCCAAGATTTATTTTCTCGTAACTAAATATTTTCTTCTTCTGTTATTGGTTTTGTTTACATATAGTCAGTAAATGTTATTATGAAGAGGTCGTCTTTTAGGGGAAATTGTAACTAGGGGAGATTTGTTATAATGGATGAAGGGCAAGAAGTTTGTTTCTTGAGTACTTTAGAATAAACTATTCTTATCGAACAGGAGCTGGATTAGCGGATTTGGTACGAAATCAGTTTTGCGTAGGAATGCATAGTTAGGTGACTGTTTTCATACTGCCGTCGTTTTCTTCTGTTACATTTTGTTCGTTATTGAAATATATCTTTAACAGTATCGTTCCACTGGGCTACCTGAATATGGTAAAAATTACGTTAACTCGTCTATGCACTGTTTCTTTCCTATTTATCGTTATTCTGGAACAGCAGTTCAAACATATAGGTATATTATGATATGATCTTATTAACTGCAATTCGTTCCGCTGTGTTTTAGGCGTGACTCTGTCTTGATGTGGCGTGGTTCTATTTCATTACTCTTACTTACAACTTCTATTCTTTATCACGGCGTAATAAGATAGCCATAATTGGTCTTGCGAAGCTGAAAGCATTGTTGTTACGAGGAATTGATAGTGTGGTATTAGTCGACATAACTTGCTTTATTAACTTCCGGTCACTTTTCACTTATGCAGATATTTTTTATTCTTTAGATTATGTTTTAAGTAATTTGATAAAATTTTTGGGAACATTTGGGCATAAGGTGCCTTAGATGTAGATAATTTTGTTTTTTCCGAAATTATCCAGTCTTTAACAGCTTGTAGGCTCCTTTGGTTGTAGCTTCTTCGGTAAAGTCTCGGGGTTGCCATCGTTACCCACAGACTTGTTTTTATTTTTTTGTCAAGGATCAATCCGTGACTATGACTTTGGAAATGCGTCATCTTTACTCACTATGTTTTTACAGCTTAATGTTTTTTTCATCTTTGGCGATTGATTGGCATCGTATGCTTGAAATTGTACGTGAATAAGCAACTGTTCGTGTCATATATCGCTTGTTTAGTCTTTCTGCATTCGTTTGTAAAACTACTGGTTTACTATAGGTACTTCTTTTACACTGAGAAGCATTGGTTTTTGCTGTTTCATTTGTTTTTGTTGTCATTGTTATTGGTTTTGGATGTTTCAGTAATTGGATAAGCCAGTGTTCTTTTCTTCTGTAGATTCTTTTAATAACACTTTATTTTGTTAGGTATAATTTTTTCGCCTTCTGTTGTTAAACTTAGAGTATCGTTGAATTAGAGATTAATTATTATTATTTTTTTTTTTGATGAATGTTGGTTATTGTTTTTTCTTGCAGACCTTACAGGCATTTAATTTTGTTTTGCCCCTAGAAGGTTGACAACTGGGATCTTCCAGCTATTCTGTTTACGCTTCTCTGAACCATATTTGTTGGTTTCTGTGCTGCTGGACGGAGAAACTTCATTCTTTCACTGAAAAAGTCATGCGCAAAAAAAAAGAACTTGATTTTGGGGCTTTCAGTATTTCTGTTAGGTTTGAGGAATAAGCTCATCGATTTTATATGTTGAAAGTTAAAGAGAAGGTGGAAATATTTATTTGCTTCCCTTAGAGTTTTACCGGTGTCATTTTTTCTTTTCCATTTTATCTTTTATTCTTCTTTATTATTACTATTATTATTGCTGCTATTATTATTATTATTATTATTATTATTATTATTATTACTAGAAAATATTAGTTTATATATGAAAGGAAAACAATACTTTATTATTTATATTGTTATTGTTGTTGTTATTGTTATTGTTGTTGTTATTATTATTGTTATTGTTATTAGATTCTTAGTATTACGATTATTATTATTATTACTATTATTAGCTGATTCCGAAAAATCTCAAAATTAATTTATTATTATTGTCTTATTATTATTATTATTATTATTATTATTATTATTATTATATTATTATTATTATTATTATTATTATTATTATTATTATATTATTATTATTA